AAGAACTCACTGACATGACTTTTGCGCTCTACACCGCGAATGTTACACATGAGCACATCGGATTTGTGGTCTTGAAACCAGAAAATGACACGTTTCTCGTGATCAACAAAATAGTAGCCACACTCTTCGCTATCCTTCTCTATGAGCTCCAACACTAGCTCGATGGATGGGTGCAAGAAGATGTTTGCGTTGCGCGCTTCTTCGTATGCTTTCTCAACAGCTTTGCCTATCCTTACAGCCGTTTCAGGGTTTCGAACATCAGCGTCAGTGAAAACTCTCTGGTGGGGCGATGAGTCAAGCCATTAGAAGCGGGTGGTAGACACACTTTATATAGGTGGTAGAAGAACAAAGCCCCTTCAGGGTGCGTGAGCGGCTCCCACCCTGCTACCACAGCAAGCTCCCTACGAACCCATTTGAATCTTGTCGTTAGCTCTCACATCAACATGCTTACTCGGAACAGTCCAAAGGACCTTTCTTAATCTCAAATGACTCATCCTTGTCTTGACTGTGAGTATGAATTAGATCAGCAGTTTACTCGACAACCATGATTTGCATACACATGTACATTCCTCTCGTATCGGCTGACCTGTGGTTCAGGCACAATGGGAGTAAGAATGATATCAAAGGATTGTCCAGACGCCGCGCCATCCGGTCCTTGGTTGAGCTCGGGAGTTGGAAATTGAATGTTGTTACAGCTGCTTCAGGTAACCGCGGCACGGCGAGGGTCACAGAAGCCGTCAACCCATCTTGGTTGGTCACTAGCTGAGAGCTCAATGCTAGACTCTGTTCCCGAAGAGATCTCTCCTTTCCATTAAGGACGAATTGACAGTGTCGAATCATCCGCAGGAGAACAGAGAGGAGAGTTCTGTACGACTTGAATGCGGTTGTCTTGACAGTGAGCCTCAGCCAGGAGATTAACGTGCGGATGTATGAGTATCCTCCCTGCATGACAATCAAGGATCCGAACACAGAAACTAGAATTTTGTCTGCTACTAGGTTAGCCTGTAGGAAGTGAGAATATGACATGAACCAATTCCAGGCACTGCATGTCAACGACACCGTTTTGATTTCCTTTTTTATTCGAATCCAGCCGAGCAAGCTTCGAAGCTTCAACGGTACGTCCAGGAACTTCAACTTGGGAAGTGCGGGATGTTGGATACCGGGAAATAATGAGGTGGTACCGATCATGTGCATAGCAAAGTCCACCATGTTGACGAGTGCATGTTGCAACATTAATCCAGGCTGCAGCTGTGACTGGCAATTCTATTCTACATAACATCCGTAATGTATATCCAAGCTCTACTATACCGCAGACGTCTGCGCGATAGCCTCCGCCTCATTTGGGCTCTTTGCATCCACCACTCCTCCACCCATAATCGCTTTTATGCCAAGAAGTGGGCCTCCGTCGAGCTGTCAGTCATGTTCACGTCAGCCAGTCGAACATCACAAACGAAATCAACGCACAAGGCCTTCAAGGTGATCCGCTCTGGCCTCGTCCGTCACTGTCACTTCTACCGGAGGAACCTCGTCGTCTGCGACTTCCACGGGCATTCCACCCTAAGCCATCCATGAGCAACACCTCATAATGAATGCCCGCCACACTCACCTGAATCCGCACCTCTACCCTCACCCAAGCCGTATTAACCATGGGTCCTTTTCGCTTCCATGTTCCCCCACCCAATCTCACAATTGCGCTCACCACTTGCGCAATACACAACCCATGACTCACAAGTGCGATATGTTCGTCCCTCCCAGACCTCGCAACATTCACCACATGAGGAAGCACAACCTCCTTCACTGCCCTCTCAGCCCTCCTGGTCAGATCCTCCACCGACTCTCCACCAGGAAACGCCACGTGTTTCTCGCTTTCATATAAAATCGGGTACTTGTCCTCTGCAAAGTGAGCTTCGAGCGTCTTGCCTGGCTCCCGTATGCACGTTTGATGCCCTTCTGCGGCTCCAAAACTTTGTTCTCTGATCTGGGTGATGGTGAAATCATGAGGAGGCTTGGGCGTGGGCTGCGCGTCTAGTACCGCTTGGGCTGTGTCCCGTGCGCGGGGTAAAGGGGACGCGTAGATCTTGGTGAATTGTGTATTTGCGAAGTATGCGCCTACAGCGCGTGCTTGCTGTTCTCGGGTTTAGCTTGGGTTGATGGAGAGGCGGTAGAAAGGCTTACCTGCGTCCCTGATTGGCCAAGATCAGTCGTGATGCTCGTTAGTTAAAGGCGCATTCGAATTACCACTCACCTCTTTCCGTGAGAGGACATTCCGTGCAGCCCGACCACAGAGCTAGCTGCAATGATCTCGCGATCAGTGAGTATCGCCGGACCACTAGTTCAGCCTTACCACGTTGTGCGTGGACTCTCCATGTCTAATCTGCGCGTACACCATCGGCGATGTTAGAAGAGTCTCCCAGATATTGAATGGACGTACCAATGTCACTGTGAGCATCTTGTCTGATCAGAGGATGCTGATGGTATCCGACACTGATCAATCCAATCAATAGCCTTTACATACCGAAGTGCAACCGAAATGAGGCTATAGCGTGTCGGAGCATAAATTTGATACCGACACGCAGATTTCATTCTCCCTCGGTTATATTTAGCACGACTGTGGTACGAGGACAGCCACATTCCATGAAACTTTAGAAAGGAAAAATGTCTTTAGCGTATAATTTACCAGAGAATGAGGGTCCCTTTCAACGACAAGTCCCCTTTGACGCAACTTTGACGCGTTAACCGAATAGATCATAGCCACGGGAAGACAACTGGTCGAACTCAGGGTTCTCGCGCCCACAAATCCTTCCATCAGACGCTCGAATCGTGTTGTCGGTTCTGTAAGACTGAATAAAAAGCTGAGGCCACAAGCAAAACACTGAGGGCTCATGGCAAAATGATAATCATGTGACACCGCGGGAACCAGACGTATCCTGGAACATGATCATGACATTCATTCATCCACTCACAGGGGCTAGAAACACGGAGCTAAAAATTGCCGAGGCAGAAAGTAGCTCCACAAAACTGACATGCTGCATCTTTATGGAGCCAGCTCGGTTCTCACCCATTGCCAACTGGAACATCAGGCACCAGTGGTAAGCTAACTCGAAGTACGCCACAAGAGTGGTGATCGGTAACTGGCAACACCGAACGGCCAAGAAAGTGACGATATTCGGGAAGCTGGAGACCGTAGTTTGACCGCGCCGCGCGTTGTGGTTGCGAACCCTTGATGGTATCATTCATTGTAAGTAGACTGAGCGATTTGCGTTGGGGCAAGTACCGGTTGTCTGCACAAGCCGGCGTGCTATGAGGTGGGAACTCGTTCAGTTCAGTCCGATGCGAGCAAGAGAGGTCCATACGCCTGGGTACGTGGATGGTGTGTAAAATCTCTGCGTTGCTGGTCGTTCGTAGATGTACGCCTTTTCTGGTGGGGTCAAGACCGCAGAATTACCGTATCTGGAGGATCGAAGATGTATGTGACGTCGCACCTGGAACGGCATTAGCATCAGGTTACCCAGAGCGGTAGGCTTGGCAGCCTTTGCGCACATTACACCAAAGTAGAGTAGAGTCGGTCAACTGAACGCCAGTCAGAGAGGTGTGCCGCATGCTGTAGGTCAGTAATAAGGCATGCGCCATGCACATTGCAATGTCAGGGCAGCAGCTTAGCGGGAAAACTTACGTACATGGAGAGACAGCATATCATAGTTTGCGCCCGCTTTCTTTGTTGGGAAACGCTGCTAAATTTCTCTGCCTCATCATAACTCAGCTGACGCCAAATTCGTTCTTGTTGACGGTCGTTCGTAACCGACAAGCGCTCCGTGAACAGAACGCTACAGGTCAACAAACAAGTATCAACATAAGATATTCATCGACCAGCTACGCAAAACATCAGAAACCGTCAAACCAGTTGCCGTGAGTCTTTCTTATTCACTGCATCTAATATCATAACGACAGTAACGTTTGTAGCAGATATCCTTCACTCATAATGAACCGACCAGGTGTGTTCCCAGCTTGTTCTGGCGCCATTGTTGCACTTAGTTCCGCTCAGGTCAACCATTACAGCGACCACCAAGTCTTGCTCCCCCAGCCGGCTTGTCGTCACAATTTCGCTCTCCCTACCCAACGTCGCAATATCCTCTACCACAACGGAGTTATCCGACACCAACCCTCCAGCAACAAAATGCGCACCGAACGCCTGCCATTGCACCAGGTTCTAACGTCACAAGTTATGCAACGCAGGCGGGGCAGAGTGGGTCAGGAACTGCAGGTGCAGTGGCGCAGAGCAGAGATTTTGGCCCTGATGATTTCCCAGCGCTGGGAAGTCAGGCAGGTCAGCAGCCACTAAGCGGCCAGAACTCGTCCCAATCGCAGAATCCACCACCTGGTGCTGATCTCAGCGCACCACCCGGTGTACCACCTCCAGGAGTAAGCCCGCATGTGTCGAATGGGACCCATCATCTACATCCGCATCAGCATAACGCGCACCCACAGCTGCATAATCCACAACCGACACATAACCCACTTGTGCAGGCTCACCATCACCCACAGACTCCCGCACAGCAGGTGCTTATGTCCGCAGCTGACCGGTGGGGCCTACTTGGCCTGCTCGCAATGATTAAGAACGCAGGTGTTGATGCAGATGGAGGTCTGAGCAGCGTTGGTACGGATTTAGGTGCAATGGGACTCGACATGGGTTACGAGGGGTATGTCATGCATTACTAGACACTCGACCATTTTTACTTATGTTGCATAAAAGAAACCTGTATTCGACATTTGTTACGCCGTGGGCAGATCAATCTGCAGCCCATAGCGTTGAACCTGATTTTCATCTGCCTCCGTGTTACAGCGCTCAACCGCCCGCATTAGGACCAGCCAAGGCTGGAGCTTTCAGTGATGAGACGCTGTTTTTCATGTTCTATTCAAGTCCGAGGGATGCACTACAAGAGATCGCAGCGCAAGAATTGTAGGTCTCCATTCATGCCCCAGAAAACTTTCGAGACCCCCACAATGCTGTTTTGGCTGCCTCAACTTATGAATTCGGGCTGACTTGTGGCTTCACAGGTGGAATCGTAATTGGCGATACCACAAAGACCTACGGATTTGGATAACAAAAGAAAGCGGCAGTGCTCCATCATCAAAAATCCCAGGGGGCGAAGCAGGAACGTACACATGGTGGAATCCCGATGACTGGTGCAAAGAGCGTAAAGAGATGAGCGTTCGCTATGCAGACCTCGAGGAGAAGACAGTCCCAGCATTCGTGATGGGACCGGGTCTGGTGTTGGCACAACCCAGTCAAACCATACCTGGGCAACAGCAAGTGCAGGGTGCCGCAGGGCAGCAGGGAGGAGCACAATCTGTTGGGCAAGCTAGGATGCAGATGGCGGGTATCTAAGCTGGAGTGATGACCTTATCATCGCATTCGATTCGCATGTGCGCTTACGTATTTTAAGTTCTGCTTCATCGCCATTTTTTTGTGAAGTGAACGATTGTATCTGTGATTCTGTGCACTCATGAATTCTCCCGACTCGCCTAATTTCCTTTTGAGCAAATGAACAACTGGTCACCTGACATAAAATGAGGTTATGTAATCAAATTCCGAATAGAAGTCAAGTTGCAAGTTGGCAACCTGAATGAAGAATTGTGGCCATTAAAGCTGGCTCAAGAATCGCGTACTGCGCTTCATGCTGTCCCGCTCACTATTTCAAGCGACCACTATCTTCTCCCATGGTTCATGCTCGAGGACGGCATTCTCAACGAGAAATCTTGGTCCGAACCATGATCTCCTCCAAATGCTGTCACAAAGTGAGTTCCTTCAAGTTTAAACTGGAGAGAGAATCCTCAACCCCCAACATAGATTTAGACCGTGAAAACTCCTGCCCAGACAGAAACGGTTACAAAGTTCGTGCGTTTGCACGAGCTATCGAGGTTATTGGCGCGCTGGAGGAACCCGTGCGGGACGTAGGTCAGGTGAAGAAGGTCAGAACCATTCACTACCGACTCTGCCAGTTTAGTGCTCAATGCTAGGGACTCTATGTAGCTGAAAGGGGTAGGCGTCGGAATCAGCAACAGGATAGACGCGTTCTTGTCGGGTAAAGATTATGTCCGTAGGTGTTGCGCGTCTTTCAAGTATCCGTGGGTTTCATGCATGTCTCCAGGACCCGGCAGCTGCTACCGAGCTTTCTAAAGGAACATCGAAATCCAAGGCAAGAAAAGATTCTGATCCTGAGGAGACACGAAGGAAAATGATAGTTCGATCATTAACGTCTGTTTCCGGCATTGGGTACTACACGTTCGCCTCGCGTCGACTTTGACGGTGTTCTGACAAGTTGAATGACTACAGCCCAACAGCTGCGAAAGCCCTCATTGATGCGGGCTGTATGTCCATTGGGGACCTGAAGAAACCGAAATTCTTTGACATGTTGAGTCCCCTGCAGCAAACCGGTGCGCGATACCACGAGCATCTCGGACGACCTGTCGAGAGAAGTCAAGCCGAACTACTCGCTGTACGTTATTGATTTATTACTCGAAGAACGCTCCATCAGCTCATTAATGTATAGAAATTTATTTCGGAGAACATTTCTTGTAAATTTGATGTTGAGCTCGTGGGTAGCTAGTAAGCGGTCTGCATCTTTTTCCTCGTCTCTGCGTTGACTTCAATAGCCGACGGGGTGCTCAGTCGTTCCCAGGCGTCGATATTATGTTGACTCACCCATCTCATGTTCACGTGCCTACGCCCCCGTCAAAGAATGGCTCAGTTACACAGGGAATTAACAGTGCACCTTTTCGCACGCCATCTAGAAAGCTACGGGAAGCGCAGGACTCCCTTCTCTTCCGTGATGTAGTCTTCCCACTCGAAAGCCGTGGCCTCGTCGCCGAGACACTGTTGCTGGGATCCAAGAAGTGGCAGGGTGTGATCCGCCTACCTGAAAGGACTGTAGACGGAACTTGGGAAGAACGTTCTCAACGAATCGAGCGCATTCGCGAGCAGCAGGGCCTTTATATTCGATTGGACTTGAAGTAAGTTTTGATAAAGATCTTTTGGCGCACTGATTTAATCGCGTGCAGCCTCGCCCCTATGAAGTCGAAGGGTGCAGCACTACTCGCGTTGACTGGGGATAAGGAGTTCAGCCTCGACATCCGTACCAAAGCTGCACAACTGGGCTTGCTCCTCAATGAATTCGGCCTGTGGAGATGGACCTCTGATCCATCACTCCCAGCAGATGCAGAGGAAGGGTACTGGACGTTTATAGAAGGCGAAAGCGAAGTCGCTATCCTACGCGAGCTCGGCGTGAATTATGTGAAACCGATAAAACGCAACTTTGCATATCTCGCCAATTCTGATTCGAACGCGTCGACTATTAAAAAGGGCAGGCCGCGGAAAAAAGTTCTGTAGTTTTGTTTGCATCTATGTACCATACTGCCACATAATCTCAAAGGATCGACATTTGCAATCATTGGCATGATCATGATGAATCGATGAGGTAGGACGCCAGTGATATAGTTTGTGCCTACAGTTGTTTTCATATCGATAGACCAGAATATCGAAAATTCATTTAGTCGCTTTTGTTTATTGTTGGGGCGATACCAAGCAGAGGCGCTCATGCTAGCTACTTTTACGGTAAGTCGTTAACCCTGCCTGTCCATGGGCTTGTGCGGGGCGGACCGGGCGGTACAAATATTGTGACGAAGTGAGCAGAGGTGACTGCGGATCAATCGAACACGCTTGGAAAGTTAACGGTGCCAGTACTTGGCAACATCTACCCATCTCACTTTCAAGATAACACAACCGCGCGCCTGATGACTGGATTCCAGAAACACCTTGATGGGGAGAAATCAACTCATTGTAGAGCGGTACACTGCGTTCGAAGTGTGCTGCCTGGCTTCCAGAACACCAGGAGGCAGAAACTGACACATTAGTTCCAAAAATAATTATGACATATCGAGCTCGAGTCACGCTGTTGATTTTATTCAATGTTCAGATCGGTGTAAGTGAGAGCTAGTAGATCAGTAGCGGTGTCCAAATCAGCGTGACTCGAGACACTTGGCAAGCTTCCACATAGATTCGATCGACATTAACCCAACGCTGACGACGTATGCGACGAGCCAGGCCGCGGTGAGAGTGCGGCAGACAGTGTCCTGAGAGTAGAAGCCTGCTATCAACATCGCTGCGGATGAAGCAGTGCATGAGGACCCAAAGAGAACACAGCGTCAGTAGAGCAACTCACCGAATATGAAGCAATTCAAGGACAAGCCGACAAAGAACATGAGCATGACCATTGATAAGAGGTAGGACAAGAGGGAATAACCGCCTGGCTTGATTTGCTGATAATGAGTTAGTCGATGTAGTCAACAAAGCAAGAAACAATCCTTACTTCTTGAGTGCACTGCCGATCGGCGTGTAGCCAACGCATCATGCCCAAGCCAGAAGTCAACATTGCAATCATTGCCATCATGAGTGATATGAAGAGTAGAAGATAGGGGGTGGGTGAAGTGTAGTCAAAATACGGCGCGGGAGAGACAGTGGTCACGAAGACACCACTTGTCGCGAGAAGTAGACCCGCCTTCTGAAGTTTTAGACTGTGTAAGCGCCAGCAAGGAGTCGAATAACTCACTGCGGTGACAGTGTTGGTCAGGATGGAGCATAACCTTTCCCTCACGTTCTGGAATGCCTCCTCGGATTGCAGTGACCCCCAATGGGCTTCAAGATCGGGGCGTCCCAGTGCAAAAAGACAGAGTACCCTCGTTATAAAGGATGTGTTGTGAAGAGCTCCGGGGAGTATTCGGTCTTCAGCAAGTATACTTTGATCGGAGGTCCGAGTCTCATCAGTGCTGAAAGCCTAGGGTAGTCCTGTCATACAAGGAGCAAGTCTTCCTACATGTTGAAAACTCACCTCCGATAGAGCCATGTCGAACGGCCAAAGAGAAGAGTACAGTTGGACTACGTATACTGCATCTTGACATGCTGGCTTATATACGATTGAGATATCTTGACCCGTAACCGTATTAGTGAATTTCGAAGCATGGAAGATACGACTGTCGGAGTTGAAAGTGAAAAGCTGTGTTCCCTAGCATCAACCAACCAGCTGAAAAGTACTCCCTACTGAAGGACCGTTTAATTTTACTGTCGGAGTTGAATACGATTGAGAAATGGCGCGGTGATCACTGAAAACCAAGAGCGATGACCTTACAATTTAATTTTAGGAGCGATGATTTGTAAGGTCATCGCTCCTGAATCGAGTGGAGTACTTTTCAGCGTTGGTTGGTTGATGCTAGGGAACACAGCTTTTCACTATGATTTGTAAGGTCATCGCTCTTGGTTTTCAGTCCCAGTGAAAATCGACAAGAAGGAGGTGGATATGTATAGATATAGATCGAAAAAAACACAAGGGAAGGAACATTTTCGCTATGTTTCGACCCCTTTAGAAAAGTGGGACTTTTCGAGACGAAAAAAGATAGAGATCGAGAGTTAAATTTACTGCTTAGATAGGATTTTCGATGGCTTTAGATGAATTTTAGATGCAAATATGCGCTGAAAGTGATCCATTTGGGTGGGTGAATAGGTATCTAATGCCATTGAATGATGTATCTCAAGGTATCACTGTAATTAGATGCTTGTGGTATCATTGTGCCCGCGCCTGCCATCCTGCCATCCCGCCATCCCGCCATCCCGCCATCCCGCCATCCCGCCATCCCGCCATCCCGCCATCCCACCATCCCGCCATCCTGCCACCACCATCCCACCATGTATCTGCTCATTACTCCTCATCTGCATCATCACTGGCACCACTCCCTTCAGTAGGTCCAGCTGAGTTGAGCTATAAAGTAAACCACTGTTAGTATAAAGACAGGCTATGATGAATACCATGCACCTGTAGAGCTGCTTTGCGCTTGTATACCTGTGATAGTACTAGTCAGTAAATAAATCACATTGATATAAAAACAATGTACCTCTTTGTTGGTCTTTGATAGACTGTTCCAGTAGGTTGCAAAGACGCTTGCCAGTTCTTTCTGATGGCTGTTTGATTGCCAATCAAGGGTGCAAAGATTCCTAGAATAATAGTGTTAACCTTGCTATGATCAAAATAATCAGAACTCACTGTGCTGTGATCTTGAAGCTCACACGCATGGGCTTCATGCTTGGCTGGTGCTTCTTGATGGTATTAGCCTTCTCCTCAATCACAATCGCAGCACTGGCTTGGTTGACAAGCTCAGTCTTTACAGCTAGGGAAGCTGTGTCAGTACTACTTGAAGGTGTCTCTGGTACAGTCGAAGTAGGTGTAGACTTGTTTGATGGTGGCGCAAGAATCAGGTTGGTTCCAGAAGTTGAAGCAGTTGGAGAGTCAATGGAAGTGGAAGGGAGCTTCCTGATGACCGGTTTGGGCCTAGGTTTCAATACAAGGTCAGAACTACGTAAATAGATAAGTAAGACTATTATCAGATGGATTGGAAGAACTCACAGTGGGTTTTTGATCTAGTAATTTTAAACAAGCCAAGTCAGTGTCTGGATGGCATGCGTGAATTCAACTCACCTCAATAGCAGCTGCTTCTTTGTCTTTCCCTTTGTTGGTGTGTGGTGGTGGTGTTGGTTCACGCTCAGGTGAGGGGTGTCATGGTATCTCAGGTATCTGTAGATAGGTCAATTAGCAAGCTTCAAGTACTGAAAAAAAAATATACCGCTTCATCACTAGCAGGCTCAGTGACAGGCTCATTGATCCATGCTTGCTTCTTCATATGTTCGGCTTCGAGTTCTTTGTCAGGATCACCTGCATGCTTCTGGGCAACTGGGGGCAGAGTGTTGTCTGAGAGGTCCAGGAGACTCTCTCCATGCTCAGCCTTGATGCGCTTGCTGGTTTTCTTCTTGACGTGATAGTTGAACCATTGTGAGTAATTGTCAGTCATGAGTTTCATAACCTTCCAATTGTCAGCACATAAACAAAATTCAGGACAATGCTTGTGTAGTGTGTGGATGAGCCAGCATAAGACTTGCAGTGACGCTTGGCCGATAGAATCTGGTGTGAGGCCTTGACTGTCAAGTTCCCGGAAGCTCGAGAGCATGAGGTTCCAGATTGTCTTGGTGTGTTGAGCTGAGACAGGTACACCTTTCTTGTCCTGTAAGTAAGTACATGCAACATTAACGCCTTGTGCCATGCGCCCAGATCCTCGAGATGAGCTTCCAGAGGTTCCAGGTACAGATGATGTCGTCTTTGGATACTGTTCCTGCCATTCTTTCCTTGTCCATGATTTGACAGATGGGTAGTCCTTCCGGTCAAGCTCTTGATCGGATTCTGTAGGGACTATTCTATCCACAAGGGCAGGTTTCTCATCGGCAATGGTGCTCGAGGTGTCAGATGAGGGTGATAATGGTGATGATGATGTCAAGGACACCAAGCTTGTGGAGCCATGCATATTAACAATGACATTTCTATGTTAGATTGTTTGAGTGCATATATGCGCATATGTTCAGTTGAATTGACTTACTGTAAAGTCTGGCAGGTCATATTGAGACCAGCATTCTCATTGACAAGCCTGAGTCTATCGGCTTGTAGACTTGCAACAGCATGCTGTAATTTGGTGAGCTGCTGCTTAAGTTGAGCAACAAGGCCATTGTCAGAGTCCTTGCACGCCAATGGATCCTGGTCAAGTAGAGAATCTAGAGAGTCTAGATATATCAAAGACTCACCATGTGTTTCATGGTTAGAATATGAGCTTCAATGAATATGGTGACTCACGCTAGGTTCTTGAATTGCCATTGGGTCATGCATATAGTATGTGTCGCTGGGCCCAATATTTGGATCAAAGGCCTGTGATAACGATCGTGAAGTATTGAGTTGAGATATTGAAGAGTTCGGGTATCCAGTAGATGACATTGTGTTGTCGAGGGTCAAGGACATGATGGTATGAGTTGAGGTATGCTGCTCTGACCTGAAGTCAAGAAAGGAAACACACCAAGTCTGCATGTTACCACGCATCACTATGCTACCACCAGCTGTCCAAGACTTTCTGGACATGTCGTCTGATCCAGATTTCGATGGTTATGAGGCTGATACCAGGTGAGTAGGATGGATGTTTTTGATTTGAGATCTAACAGAGTTCATTTTAGTATCAATACAAATGATGATGACCATAGCTGCTCTAGTACTCCAGTAATGGCATTATCAGATGATATCCTTCTGGATCCAGCATACTGGACTTCTGATCGTCACAGGATGGTGCAGGAACAGCTTATGGACTTCCAATCGACCATGCAGTGAGTTTTTTATGTGTCTAACTTTGTGTTTAACATTTGGCGAATTCAGTGTAGCTACTAGATCTGCACCATCGGCTCCAAAAAATGAGCCAAGCAGTGTCACAGAGCCTGAGAGTGACCCTGAGATGGCACCATCTGCAGGACCAGTCCTCCCCCCAACAAAGCCTCCAAAACTTGATCCCAGCAGCATTACAGAGCCAGAAAGTGACATTGAAGACTTATCTGCTGGACCAGTCCTCCCTCCAACAAAGCCTCCAAAAACCGATGATCCCAGCAGCATTACAGAGCCGGAAAGTGAGGTGGCATCTGCAGGACCAGTCCTCCCCCCAACAAAGCCTCCAAAAATTGATGCCAGCAGCGTTACAGAGCCAGAAAGTGATATTGAAGACTTACCCCAACTCTCAATCAAGAGGCCAATCAAAACTGAAATCAAAACCAATGATCCCAGCAGCATTACAGAGCCGGAAAGTGACATTCTCAGGGCTGATGTGCATGATAGAATGAACCCATGGCCAAATAAAATGAAGGCGATCCATGTGGCGTTGATAATAGATTTCTTCAAATTCATCCACAAAGTCAAGAAGGTGGCAGTGACCATCAAGAAGATCCAAATGAGAGATGTGATATTGTTGCATCACACACAGCCCCTGAGCAAGACAACAAAAGTTCATCCAATATGGCTCAGGAAGGACACCATAGAGCGTGGCAGGTGCCATACCATAGAGGTAAAGAAGCCATTCCCAAGCCTTGTAGCCGCTATTGATCTTCTCTGCAGGGTTACAAGGTGGACAGTTGAACAATCCTGGTAGAAAAGGGGTTGCATCCACAATAAGAGATCCGTGCACCTTCCATGTTGCCTTTGTAAGTACAGCCCAGGCCCAAGTGGATTGATCATCTGTAGATTCAACTCTGAAAGTCCCTCACCACAAGGGAATAAGTAGATCACTGGTGTTGATAGCAGCAATGTGCATAATATCTGAACCAAAGCAAAGAGGGACAAGCAGAATATGTTTTGGGTCAAACCCACAGAAAATGCTGGGTTTTGAGATGCCTGTCTTGAGGTGAGCAAGTTCATATTCAGTCAGGTGTGCAAGGACTCTGACAATGGCCTTGTTGCTCAACTTAAGCAGCAGCTCACCAAATTACAGCATGCTGTTGCAAGTCTACAAGCCGATAGACTCAGGCTTGTCAATGAGAATGCTGGTCTCAATATGACCTGCCAGACTTTACAGTAAGTCAATTCAACTGAACATATGCGCATATATGCACTCAAACAATCTAACATAGAAATGTCATTGTTAATATGCATGGCTCCACAAGCTTGGTGTCCTTGACATCATCATCACCATTATCACCCTCATCTGACACCTCGAGCACCATTGCCGATGAGAAACCTGCCCTTGTGGATAGAATAGTCCCTACAGAATCCGATCAAGAGCTTGACCGGAAGGACTACCCATCTGTCAAATCATGGACAAGGAAAGAATGGCAGGAACAGTATCCAAAGACGACATCATCTGTACCTGGAACCTCTGGAAGCTCATCTCGAGGATCTGGGCGCATGGCACAAGGCGTTAATGTTGCATGTACTTACTTACAGGACAAGAAAGGTGTACCTGTCTCAGCTCAACACACCAAGACAATCTGGAACCTCATGCTCTCGAGCTTCCGGGAACTTGACAGTCAAGGCCTCACACCAGATTCTATCGGCCAAGCGTCACTGCAAGTCTTATGCTGGCTCATCCACACACTACACAAGCATTGTCCTGAATTTTGTTTATGTGCTGACAATTGGAAGGTTATGAAACTCATGACTGACAATTACTCACAATGGTTCAACTATCACGTCAAGAAGAAAACCAGCAAGCGCATCAAGGCTGAGCATGGAGAGAGTCTCCTGGACCTCTCAGACAACACTCTGCCCCCAGTTGCCCAGAAGCATGCAGGTGATCCTGACAAAGAACTCGAAGCCGAACATATGAAGAAGCAAGCATGGATCAATGAGCCTGTCACTGAGCCTGCTAGTGATGAAGCGGTATATTTTTTTTTCAGTACTTGAAGCTTGCTAATTGACCTATCTACAGATACCTGAGATACCATGACACCCCTCACCTGAGCGTGAACCAACACCACCACCACACACCAACAAAGGGAAAGACAAAGAAGCAGCTGCTATTGAGGTGAGTTGAATTCACGCATGCCATCCAGACACTGACTTGGCTTGTTTAAAATTACTAGATCAAAAACCCACTGTGAGTTCTTCCAATCCATCTGATAATAGTCTTACTTATCTATTTACGTAGTTCTGACCTTGTATTGAAACCTAGGCCCAAACCGGTCATCAGGAAGCTCCCTTCCACTTCCATTGACTCTCCAACTGCTTCAACTTCTGGAACCAACCTGATTCTTGCGCCACCATCAAACAAGTCTACACCTACTTCGACTGTACCAGAGACACCTTCAAGTAGTACTGACACAGCTTCCCTAGCTGTAAAGACTGAGCTTGTCAACCAAGCCAGTGCTGCGATTGTGATTGAGGAGAAGGCTAATACCATCAAGAAGCACCAGCCAAGCATGAAGCCCATGCGTGTGAGCTTCAAGATCACAGCACAGTGAGTTCTGATTATTTTGATCATAGCAAGGTTAACACTATTATTCTAGGAATCTTTGCACCCTTGATTGGCAATCAAACAGCCATCAGAAAGAACTGGCAAGCGTCTTTGCAACCTACTGGAACAGTCTATCAAAGACCAACAAAGAGGTACATTGTTTTTATATCAATGTGATTTATTTACTGACTAGTACTATCACAGGTATACAAGCGCAAAGCAGCTCTACAGGTGCATGGTATTCATCATAGCCTGTCTTTATACTAACAGTGGTTTACTTTATAGCTCAACTCAGCTGGACCTACTGAAGGGAGTGGTGCCAGTGATGATGCAGATGAGGAGTAATGAGCAGATACATGGTGGGATGGTGGTGGCAGGATGGCGGGATGGTGGGATGGCGGGATGGCGGGATGGCGGGATGGCGGGATGGCGGGATGGCGGGATGGCGGGATGGCAGGATGGCAGGCGCGGGCACAATGATACCACAAGCATCTAATTACAGTGATACCTTGAGATACATCATTCAATGGCATTAGATACCTATTCACCCACCCAAATGGATCACTTTCAGCGCATATTTGCATCTAAAATTCATCTAAAGCCATCGAAAATCCTATCTAAGCAGTAAATTTAACTCTCGATCTCTATCTTTTTTCGTCTCGAAAAGTCCCACTTTTCTAAAGGGGTCGAAACATAGCGAAAATGTTCCTTCCCTTGTGTTTTTTTCGATCTATATCTATACATATCCACCTCCTTCTTGTCGATTTTCACTGGGACTGAAAACCAAGAGCGATGACCTTACAAATCATAGTGAAAAGCTGTGTTCCCTAGCATCAACCAACCAACGCTGAAAAGTACTCCACTCGATTCAGGAGCGATGACCTTACAAATCATCGCTCCTAAAATTAAATTGTAAGGTCATCGCTCTTGGTTTTCAGTGATCACCGCGCCATTTCTCAATCGTATTCAACTCCGACAGTAAAATTAAACGGTCCTTCAGTAGGGAGTACTTTCAGCTGGTTGGTTGATGCTAGGGAACACAGCTTTTCACTTTCAACTCCGACAGTCGTATCTTCCATGCTTCGAAATTCACTAATACGGTTACGGGTCAAGATATCTCAATCGTATATAAGCCAGCATGTCAAGATGCAGTATACGTAGTCCAACTGTACTCTTCTCTTTGGCCGTTCGACATGGCTCTATCGGAGGTGAGTTTTCAACATGTAGGAAGACTTGCTCCTTGTATGACAGGACTACCCTAGGCTTTCAGCACTGATGAGACTCGGACCTCCGATCAAAGTATACTTGCTGAAGACCGAATACTCCCCGGAGCTCTTCACAACACATCCTTTATAACGAGGGTACTCTGTCTTTTGCACTGGGACGCCCCGATCTTGAAGCCCATTGGGGGTCACTGCAATCCGAGGAGGCATTCCAGAACGTGAGGGAAAGGTTATGCTCCATCCTGACCAACACTGTCACCGCAGTGAGTTATTCGACTCCTTGCTGGCGCTTACACAGTCTAAAACTTCAGAAGGCGGGTCTACTTCTCGCGACAAGTGGTGTCTTCGTGACCACTGTCTCTCCCGCGCCGTATTTTGACTACACTTCACCCACCCCCTATCTTCTACTCTTCATATCACTCATGATGGCAATGATTGCAATGTTGACTTCTGGCTTGGGCATGATGCGTTGGCTACACGCCGATCGGCAGTGCACTCAAGAAGTAAGGATTGTTTCTTGCTTTGTTGACTACATCGACTAACTCATTATCAGCAAATCAAGCCAGGCGGTTATTCCCTCTTGTCCTACCTCTTATCAATGGTCATGCTCATGTTCTTTGTCGGCTTGTCCTTGAATTGCTTCATATTCGGTGAGTTGCTCTACTGACGCTGTGTTCTCTTTGGGTCCTCATGCACTGCTTCATCCGCAGCGATGTTGATAGCAGGCTTCTACTCTCAGGACACTGTCTGCCGCACTCTCACCGCGGCCTGGCTCGTCGCATACGTCGTCAGCGTTGGGTTAATGTCGATCGAATCTATGTGGAAGCTTGCCAAGTGTCTCGAGTCACGCTGATCTAGACATCGTCAGGAGTCTCCACTCACATCGGACCTGCTTGTTGGTTATACATACAGTAAGGTATAGCCCTAGCATGGTGGGGTGGACGATACTTTGGTGGACACTGTGTGCTTCATTTGTTGTACCAAAGAAGCATTTAGTTACATTTACACCGGGTCGAATCACTAGCGCGCGAGCTTGACTTGGATACTCACTGATTCTGACTGAACTTCCACTTCCGTCTCGCTGCCTTCCACTCTGGCAGGTTGAGAGTACCCTTCGACCGCAGTGGACCGGTTAGCTGATGTCAAGGTGTGCTTGTGGTATCTACATCGCAGAAGCACCAACAAGTGTTTCTGATTCATCCATGACGTCACTCAGCACTCAATGCTCATTAGTTCATCGAGAGCTCTCTTCACACCGAATTGAGCGCTGTCAGTGTCACCTGTCCAAG